GGGCTGTGGAAAGAGCAGAAAATCCCCAGGTGGAGACGTGAGAGAAAGACAGCCTTCCTGGAAGGGAGCAGCAGGTGTGGAGGCAGGGCCTGGGCGTGTTGAATCTAAGGCAGGTAGCCTTACAGGACGCCTGCTGTGTGAGGCCTGGGAACTTGATGCTTGCGGTGACTCAGCCGGGATTTGACAGGAGCCTCCAGGCCCTGCCTCGACCCGCTGCACACTGCAGCATCTACGACGCTTGCTCCTGCGGTTCAAGAGCCAGACTGGAGCTCTCGTCCCCACACCTGTTGCTGGGCAGAGCAGCTAAGCTGCCCGAGGACGGTGGTGCTTGCTTCACACACCAGTTAGCCGCTCTGCCTCCGCGGAGCGAGTCGGGATTCCTAGGATCCATGTCTGCTTAAAGTGCCTATTCACTGTGTCTGCAGCCTAAAAATACGTCCTTACATTTATATTCTTGCATGTGTTTTCGCACGCATGTGTACAGGCCATGAACTGGCTCTCTGCTTCCACTGCGTGTGTCATGGGGATTGAACTCAAGCCATCAGCTGTCTTTACTCATTGAGCCATCTTTGCTGGCTGGCCTGCACTTTGTTTTTTTTCAACAAGGTTTCTCTGTGTAGCTTTGGCTGTTCTGGACTCTCTGTGTAGACCAGGCTGGCCTCAAACTTACAGAGATCCACCTGCCTCTGCCTCTGTGAGTGCCGGGATTAAAGGCGTGCACTGCCAGGCCCAGCTTGAGCTGCACTTTTTATAGTATAAGTTATAAAATATAAAACTTAGTTTTATAGGAAGTGGATCATAAAGTCCTGAGAGTTTCTTTTTTTGGGGGGGGGGGGCTTGCTTTTTCAAGACAGGGTTTTGCTATATAGCCCTGGCTGTCCTGGAACTCCTCCTATAAACAAGGCTGGCCTTGAACTCAGAGATCTGCCTGTCTCTTTCTCCCAAGGGCTAGGACTGAAAGTGTGCACGGCCACCACCCAGCTTCAGAACCTGGCTTTCAGAGCATGCTTTGTTGAAAGCCTGCTTTAATTAAGTGACCTCAGAGTGACAGCAGAGTGCAGCCAGCTCTCCATGAAGGCCTGACGGGCAGCCCTGGGTTGCCCTCGTTGATGGATATTGGCTTCGTGGGCTTTGGGGTATGAGGAACATTTTTGTTTATATGCACACACACACACACACACACACACACACCCCACATATATGTGGATCTGTAAAATACTCATTCGTGTATTCGTGCCAAAACCCCAGGGGGACACAGACGCTGGTGCTCCCGGGAAGCATGTTCTCAGAGCTCGGCTAATGAGTGACAGCAGCTGTGCACTTATTCCTTCAAAATGGATGAAGAGTCTGGTCTCTGAGTTCCAGGCCGGCCGGTCAGGCCATGGTGCCAGGAGCTTGTCCTGCCTGTTAATGTGACCTGTGACATGATGGCACTGGTGCCTCGGGAAGAGCAGGTGGCAGTGATGGAGCTTTGGAGTTCCTGGCTGGCTGCCCCATCCCCCTCGGTGCACCTCCTCTCTGCTCTGGCTGCCCGCACCCCAACTTGCCACTGTCTGCTCTGGCCTTTGCCAGTCAGCGTCACCCCCTCCTCCCACTCCTGCCAGCCTGCGTCTGACCCGCTGACCCACCCACCACTGCTTCCTTCCCCCTTCCTGGGTTTGTGCCTGGGCTCTCAGCCAGGGTCAGCCCTGACTGCCTTCAGGTCCTGCCCCCAGGTGCTTGGGTGTAGAGCTGGGGTCGGTATCTCAGAGTCATTTGGGGCGTGGTTTAATTTGCATCAGTGTTACCCACTGAATTTTGGATCCAAGCAGATCCGAAGCCTAGCCCCTGGTGTCCCTCACTCAGCCAGCACAGGACTGTTCCTTTAAGACCTCCCAAACTGCAGGGCAGCCCGGCCAGCCCGGGAGGGCGTCTCGATCTGCAGGCCTCCTCCTGCTCTGGTAGAGGTGACCATCCCAAGGCCACTGGCTTCACGGGCAGCCCATCCTGCCCCTGACCCGGCAGGGTGGGGCATGGGAAGGAGGCTTGCTCTTGGTGGCTGTGTCTCAGCCAGGAGGAAGAGCCTGCGCTCTGCTTCACCTCCTCCTCAGTCCTTTCTCACAGTCTCCCCATGAAGGAGTTGATTTACTGTCACTGGGAAGGAGCCTTCTGCATGTATGACACAGGCCACTGGGCTTGCTGTGTGCCTCACACCCCTTCCTTTCACACTGGGCCAATCTTTCCCGAGGCACAAACCACACATGGATGCCATTCTGTGGAAACCATCTAGTGGTTTTCTATAGGCCCATGATGAAAGTCTGGATCCTTGGCATTTGGGGATGGAGGAGGGAGGACAGGGGAGATGCGGTCTCATACGTAGCCCTGGCTAGCCTGCTCGCTGGGGTCGCTGGTGCGTGCTTCTATGCCCAGCTAACAATCCCAGCTCCTTGGAGGGGCGGCACTCCTGGACCCTTCCAGCTGTTTGCCTCCGGTGTCTCCCAAGCTGAGCTGTTTCCTGTGTGGTGCGGGAGGCTGGTTCAGGGTGACGGTGTCACTCAGAATCGGCAGCCGTGAGGCAGGCAGAGGCTGACGTGTGTGCCTGGCCATCTGAGGCGGGATGCATTCACTGTCTCTGTGAGCGTGTGGACCTCAGCTTTCTTAGACTAGTTATTGTGGAGATTCGTGGCTGCCCTTACTTTCTCCTTGGACTTGGCTGAGTTCCGTGGTGATTCCGTGAGTGGGAAGTGAGAAGCAGGGCTCTATTCTCTCACCGGTGCTCTAAAGGTAGACTGCGCTTTTCTCGCCCTCCTTACCCTTGCCTCGCCCCCTCATTTTTGGAAGAGGGACCCCATGACCCAGCAATTAAGGCGCCTGCCTGGGTTTCCTGCCCCGCCTTTGTGGAGGCCTCCGAGGTCAAGGTGCTCTCTGCTCTGTTGCACAGGTTCTGGGCACTGCTGACGAGTCTCGGCCCTGGCCTTCCTCTGTCCTCTGTGGTGCCCCGTGTGAGTTCAGGGCCAGCCTGGCAAGGGTCAGCCCTACTGTGAGCCTCCTCCTCTACCTGTGATGTATGTCACATGGGAAAATTGTCATGTGCTGTGGATCTCAAAGTGAAGCAGGCTCTGGAAACCAGGCTGCTCACCCGCTTCAGACCTAAGCAAGCCCTGCCACGCATCCTCCAAGGCCCCGTGTCTGGGGATGGGTTGACCCCAGCTCTGTGACAGGGAGGGAAGAGAAGAACTACAGAGCCCACGGGCAAAGGCATTATGTCATCGCTGACAGCAATGAAGAGGCTAGCCAGTTCCAGGAGACATTACCGTCCTTTATCTGTCATGTGGAAATGCCTATGAGTGGGAATGAGGGCTCAGCCCTGGGAAGATCAGCTGTGGAGAGAGAGCTCAGGCAGGACCCACAGCTGACTACCCCAGCGTCCCCATTGCTCTCTGCTGGACGTTGTGAGCGCCAGTTTGATGATGCCATCTCTGTTGTTCTTTTGCTGTGGCTTGGTGTAACCAAGTTATGGCTCTTGTAGATCATTCTCCGCGCTGTGCCTCTGCGGTGCCCCGGGTGTCCCGCCCTCCGTGTAGAAGTGGTGCCATGCAGGGCTGCTGGGAGCAGCTGACAGGAGAGGAGAGGCTAGAGCTGCCTCCTGAGTCTGCCTGGCTGAGCTGTGCAGGCCCAGCCGGGAGATGCTGTTCAGTGATTTGTGGAACAGCTGAGTAGCCACCCCTCTGAAGCGCTGAGGGTTGCGTGAGCCACACTGCCAGCTGTGGTCGGTACCTGCCCTCAGCGAGCATGCTCAGCAGAGGGTTTCGGAGCACCCCGGATCGCCCTGCCTGCTGATAAATGTGGTCAGCATCTGCAGCACGCCGTGAACCTGCAGCCTTGCTACCTGTTAATGAAGGAAAGGCTTGCTTCGGCCATGGCTATGTCCTAACACTCAGCTCCGGGAGATCCTACCACCTCATAGTAGCCAACTGTATTTTTCCTGAAAAATATTTTAAGTAACTTTCCTTGCTGTGTAGTATTGCTTCAGTTAATTTTTAATCATTTTAAAGCTCAAACAAACTTAAAATCTGTGATCCTATCCAAATGTTGCTATTTCTGTGGTTACTCTGTGTTTTCCTTTCTGTGTACTATTGATATATACACACACACACATTATATATACAGATATGTGTTTGTGTGAGCTGGAATCCACGGACAGCAGATTGGTGTGGGAACCCTCCCTCAGCTCCCTGCCATCCCGGAGCTGGGCAAAGGCAAGGCAAGGGAAAGGCCAGGGAGCCAGGCAATGAGGGCTACCCAGAAGGCGGGAGGGCCTGGCTCCCAGGTCCCAGTGCTTCGGGCTGAAGGCAGGTCGCAGGCTCTGCCCCTGCTAGGAAAGCATTCCAGCAGGCCAGGTGGCCCCGAGCTCACCTCCATGGTCGGCTCTGCTTGCGTGCTGGACTATTTAGAGTTCCAGTGACAGCGCTGTAGCCAGGCTCCCCGTGTGACTCAGTGAGGCCCTGCGTCCCAGGCGCCTCTCAGGACCTGTTGTCGGATGCGGGTCATTAGGATAATAAAATCACGTCTGTGGGCCGTGTTACATAGCATCGTTGTGAAGTTGCGTGTGCATGTGTGTACACGCGTGCACGTGTCGGTGTGTGTGTGCAGCAGCCATGCGGTATTGATTGAGGAGTGGATTTTCAAAGCATAAGCACCCTACGCTGCTGTTATGGAGACTGCATAGCTTTAGAATCTAGGCCAGGTGGGGAGCAGGCGTGTGCCACGCTGAACCTGTTGGCTGTTTAACAATCACGCAGACTCCGCCTTCCGAAAGGGCACCTACTGTGTTCCTGGCGCCGGCTCTGCGGGTCGGGGTGATCCACAGCTCAGCGTCACTGCAGGCGGAGGCGGCGCTGTGGACAGTGAGGGTCGGATCCCTGATGTCGCCCGCTCCGTCTGAGGAGCCGCGTTACATGGGCCGCCCGTGGCCAGCTCTCTGCGGTCAGCAGCCTCACTGCTCTCTCTGTTTCTTGCAGTTCTCTGTGCTGAAAGAGTTGGCCAGATGACTAAGACGTACAATGACATAGACGCAGTCACGAGGCTTCTGGAGGAGGTAAGGTCTGGGGAGGTGGCGCTCATCGGCTGGCTCCCGAGGGCTCCTCCCTCGGTCAGGCCCTTGCATGGTACAGTTTAATGCTTTCATTTTGTTATTTATTTATTTTGGGACAGAATCTCACTATGTAGCTCTGGCTGGCCTGGAACTTGCTTTGTAAGCCAGATTGACCTAGAGCTCACAGAGATCTGCTGCCTCTGCCTCCCCGTGCTAGGATTAAAGGGGTGCACCATCAAGCCCAGTATCTCTGTCCGTTAGCCAGCAACAGTGGGCCTCGGCCTTTGCAGCTGTTGGTTTTGTGCACGTGTATTAGATTTGTTGTTGTTGTTTGGAAAGAAAGTCTCGTGAAGCCACGGCTGGCCTCCGATCTGCTGGGGAGCTGAGGCTGGCCTTGAATTTTGATGCCCTGACCTCTCCCCCGAAGTGTGGAGGTGACAGAGGTGTCCAGCGTGCCCAGCTGATGCTTCAGGTTGGGGTTGCCCCACCTTGAGGCGTTTCGGGATGACATGGCCATGTAGAAGCGTGTTAACCCACGCTCATAGCTATCCTGGGCTGGCAGTCGGCAGGCTCAGGTGAGATACACCTGGTTCTAGTTTTGATGTTATGAATCCATGACACGGAAATACAGTGCCATTTAAGTGCTTGTTGGAACGCCCAGTCTCTGATCCGAGGAACGGAACTGTGTGCCGCAGAGGAATGCCCTTACCTGTGGTTTCTGAATGGCGCTTAGCCTTCGCTTCTTCCAGCCGTTGGAGTGGAGCGCAGGGTCCACAGGAAGTACAAAGCAGCAGGAGTGTGACGCCTGACTTGAGGAAGTCGCTCAGGTTGGGCGGGCTGCATGCCCTCCAGAGAGCTTAGCATTCTCAGTTGTGTCGGCGTTCTCTTTCCACTTAGGACTTCCCAGTCCCCTCAGGACACAGGGGACCTGCAGGCCAGGCTGGGGCAGGCCTTAGGTAGAAGTACAGTGGTAATTTTTTTTAACCCCATGACCAAACCTGATAGAAACAGCTCGTGGGGGTGTGGAGGGGGCGTTTCTTTGGACTCACGGTTTAGGGGATTTTGGTGCATCATGTCAGGGAAAGGCATGGCAGAGAGGTTCCAGCTGTGGAAGTGTGAGCATGACGGGTGGTCGCGCCTGGGGTGGCTGGAACCTAGGACCAGATGTAACCTTCAAAAGTCAGTCCCCAGTGACCTGCAGCCTCCAGCCGGGCTCCTCATCATGTCACAGCCTCCCCAGGCAGGGCCACCAGCTGCTGATACACAAGGCCCACCCTTCAGCATGGCCCCACCACAGACCTGCCTTCAGGGGGCAGGCAGCGCTGGGCCTTGTTTCTAGGGTCTAGACTGACTCTGGGTCCAGTGATTTTCCTTCAGCACCTCCCCAGGAAGAGGGTAGGATCTTGGGGAGACTGAGCACAGAGATTGCTGCGGGCCGTGGTGGCTGAGGCCTGGCCATGTGGTGGGACTCAGGACGCCTGCAGCCCCCACCTCCTGTCTCTCCTGTGCCTCTTTTCTTCCTTCGGTATACGAGACATTTCCGCCTATCTTGGAACGCATCTGCCGTATTCTGAAGGAGGAGGCAAGAACCCCTCAGCTCCACGTAGGTGATGCCAGGGTCTGGGACTGTGACACTGGGCATGTGTTTTGAGGTGCTGGCCTCCTGCCTTCTGGTGAACCTGCAGTTGCCGCCACCTTGCAGCTGGGGTGGGCCAGTGTCCGGCTCCCTTGGCTGCACGCTGGATTTGGAAATGGCCCGGCTGACCTGCCCCTGCGGAGATTCTCCATCCATGCCCTCATCTGTCTACGCTCCTGAGCCTTGGTTGGGGTGGCCCTCCCCCTGGGCCTTGGCCTCTGCCATCATCCTGCCTCAGCCCTGTCCTGGCCTGTAGAGCTTCTGGGGTGGCTCTCAGAGTGGCCCACGGGTCACATCCTTCAGTCTGTGCTGGCATGGCTTCTCAGTCTCGTGCCGCAGGCCCTGGGAGGCGGCTCTGGAGCCTGGCCGGGGTAGCCGGTGTCGCTGAGAGACAGAGAGAGGCACGGGGCCTTGGCGTTGGTCAGCCTCACATGCGTATTAGAAACTCCAGGGTGGAGTCCGCTCCTGCCATGTGCTCCCGTGGGCCTTCTGTGGACTAATTTCCTCTTGCTGTGCTTTGAGGACTGAAGTTTGACAAGCAGCTAAGTGTGGCCCACCCTTATTGCAGGAATTCCACAGACACTCTGGACGGTGGACTCTGCCATAGCGGGGACCAGGCAGGACAGACAGCAGGGCCCTGGCTCAAGGCTGTGCCCTCCCTGACGGACCCGGTGCTTTGCCTGTTGCATTCACCTCTGGCAATATGGCTTCTCAGTTGTCGGGACATTTCTGCTTTCAAATGAGACCTGCAGCCCTGGGCTTTTTGGCCAGGCTGGGCCATGCTCGCCTGCAGTGTCAGCCCTTGGGATGTCCAGGGACAGGCGGACAAGAGTTCAAGGTCACCCCAGCTATCTAGTGAGTTCAAGGCTAGCCTGGGCTACCTGAGACTGTTTAAAAAAATTTTTTTTTAAAAAGAATTTGCTCTTCCCTTGTTCATTTTCTAAATAAGCATGGTTACACAGGATACATACTTTTAAAAAGTGAACTGGTGGAAAGAATGTCCCGTTGTGTTACAGACGTTTCTTCTCTTGGCGCTCTGTAGTGATTTCCAGTTTTATTTCGATAGGCAATCATGTCTGCCCCTGTTTTATAAATAGCAGCTGCCCCTTTGTCCTTGGCCCCAGTGGAATGATCTCAGGGAGTCCCTGCCGTCCTCTGGAGCGGGTGGCCCAGTGACTGCCTGCTGCAGCCAGTCATGTGACAGTCACCCCACACCGTTCCTGCGTGGGCCTGGGCCTGCTCAGAAATGCCGGCTTGCACACCTGGCCAGCTGCATGCTGGGTGCTGCGGGATTTGCTCAGGATGCTCAAGTGCAGCTGCAAATTTTGTGTGTGTGTGTGTGTGTGTGCGCGCCTATGTATCTTTCTGTGCCAGTGTGTATATCTTTTTGTGTATCTGTGTGTGTGTGTCTGTCTATGTCTGTGTCTGTGTGTGTTGCTCTGTGTGTCTCTCTGTTTCTGTGTGTCTGTGTATGTCTGTCTGTGTAAATGAGTCTATGTGTCTGTGTCTGTATTTCTGTGTGTGTGTCTGTCTGTGTGTGTGTATATGTATGTATGTATATGTCTGTCTGCGTGTGCGTGTGTGTGCGTGTGTATGTGTGTGTGTGAGTGTGTGTGTGTTGGGTCTTTACTGGGGAGGAGAGCCCCAGGCTTGTCCTGACTGACTGACTTCTCCTCTGCCCTAGTACCAGTGTGCGTTCCTCAGGCCACAGCTACACTTTTTATCCTAAAGTTGGTGAATGAGATGTGTCATCGCTGAAGTGTGGGCGGCAGCTAAGCCACTCAGAGCCAGGGCCAGCCAGCCCCGTGTGTGTTGGTGGCCAGGGCCAGCCTCGGGTGGAGGCCCCCGCCACCTTGATTCATTTCTCGGAGAACAGAGAAGCCACGCTGAGGCTCGCTCCAGGCCTGCGCTAGTTACAGTGTCTGGTTGTCACTCATCTCCTGGCTGTTTTCCCGATTTTACGACTGTTTGCTTTACGTTGACTGACACAAGAAACGGGAGGGACTCCTCACTCCCCACACACGCGCTCACACACAGGTACACACGTACATACACCTTGCTCCACATCTGTGATTCTCAAAAGAAACTAGGGAGCTTGTTGCCTTGATAAACCTAGACAGAGCCAGGTGCGGGGCACTGAGGCAGGAGGATTGGGGATTCAAGGCCGGCCTGGGCTGTCTCAGAACAAGAATGACAGACACCCAAAAGCCAGAACAAGCTCGATCTACCAGACCGGAGACTGCACTTGAGGCTTCTCTGTCCCTTCTTGCTTTTCATCCTGCAGACGTGCCCTGGGTAATTACTGTGAAGATTAGATTGGTGTGGGCTCATGATGGCTGCCCTCAGCAGGGCGGGGAACAGGGGCCAGAGCCCTGCAGCTGTGGGGTGTGCTCAGTGGGGCAAAGGGCTTCCTGTTTGAGCTCGCTGGCCTCTTGCTTTTGTTCCTGGGCTGTTCTCTGTCCTTGTCTCTCCCTGTCCCTTGGGCAGCTCTGTCCTCCTTGTCCTCCAGCAGCACCTTGCCTCACTGCCTGCGGTGCTCCCTGCCTCACTGCCCAAGGTGCTCCCTGCCTCACTGCCTGTGGTGCTCCTTGCCATGAGGACTCACCTCTGCGCTTGTTGGAAGAGCACAGCTTTGGTGGGTGAAGGCAGCGGCGGGTGGGGTCAGGAAGTGGGCGTTAACACCTGCTGGCCATCCCATCTGGGCGCCTGTCCTAGCAGGGAATTCAATGGGCCTGAGGCAGGCCTCGGGAGGCCAGGCCTCTGCAGGGCGGTGGTCATGGCCAGCGCAGCTGGAGCTGCAGGGGAGACGGCTGGAGCCATCTTGACCTGCTGAGCCCGAGCTTGCCTCTGGGTACTCAGATCCTGGGTGCTGCAGCCGTGCTTGGAGCCAGTGTAGCCAGGGTCTGAGAACGGCCCAGGGCCGCGGTGAGGACCTGTCTTGTCCCCCATGGCCGGGGTAAGGTCAGGGTTGAGTGTGTTGACTGCCTGGGCTGTCATAGGAAGAGCCCTTTCTGCAGGACTGCCTCTTGCGTGGTTAGGGATGCCGCAAGGTGGGGGTGCGTGGAGGGCGTTCATGGCTCTTCTGTAAACACGCCCACAGCTTGCGCACACTCGTGCCGTGTGGGAGGCGTGCTGGCATTGTCACTTTGGGGCTGTTGCTAATGGTCAGTTTCGGTGTGAGGGCGGCTCAGAGGGCATCTATCACAGAAGCGTAGGCGGCAGCAGCCTCAGCAGCCTCCCGGACGGCCTGCTTGTCTCAGGACGGAGAGGTAGAAGTTACAAGGAATCCCATTTGTGATGAGCAGTTTTGATTTGCTCTAGTTTTTAAAAAGGCTTATTTTTACATGTGTGGGCCATTTTGCCTGTGTGAACATTTATGCAGTGTGTGCCTGACGCCCACGGAGGCCAGGATAGGCGCCACAGTGGCTGTGAGCAGCCACGTGGATGCTGACACGAGAACCGGATCCTCTGGAACAGCAGTCAGTGCTCCCAACACAGCAGTGTGCTCTGTGATGAGCCACAGTCAGGAGCGGGGCCAGCTCAAGCCCCAGACTGTCCACTCTGTAAGGCTGGTTGTGGGTGTCCCAGACCAGTGAGACGGGGATTTGTGAAGGGGAAGTCCTGGCCTATGGGAGACGAGGACGTTAAAAACGACTATTTTTGCACCAAATTGGCACAGTCTCCACGCCTGCCTTTCCTCCATGCTGGCACCCTCTCTGCACAATGGCATGTGAAAAAGTGAAGTGATTGTCTCTTGTCTCTTATTACCTCATCTCCAATGTCAAGACACCAATCGCGATTACTTTAGTGATTTCTCAGCTCGCCTATGGTTTGATCAAAACTGCTTCTGATTCTGGTGAACACAAACACTCGGGCCACAAGGGTAGTTAATGCCAAGTGTGGAATCAGCTGCCGCCGGCCTCTGCCCCAGCCTGGCCCGTCGTCACTTTCCTTCTGTAGAGGAAGTGAGCTGGTAAGAGGCATAGACCCTGAAGCTGTGTGGTCTTCTGGAACAGCCCCGTCTAACTCGGGCAGGTGGTGCTCATGGGGATGGATGTAGAGCTGGTGGCTGTCTCCATCGCGGACACCTTCCGACAGAGGTAGCCATGTCTCTGTGCGGCCCACTCTGTCTAGCTGTGGTCATGGCTGAACTGGCAGAACTCTATTTCTAAGCGTGCAGCCTCTACCGGAGCTGATAGACCTTCTTTGCCCTTCCAAAGTTGTCTTCTTAAATAAGATTAAATAAAATCTGAAGAAGAAAGTGAAACAGCCAAACAGATGCAATCATATGTGAGTTATTCTAAACATTGTCATTGCCTTGCTTAGAAAGAAGAACCCAGCATGCTCTACTACAGTCCAGGCTGATGTGAGCTAAAGAGGCCTGCCTCCCTTGGCCAGTTCTTTGTGTTCTTCAGAAGCACATCCCACCCATTCATCCATCCATCCATCTATCCACCCACCCCATCTATCCATTTATAGACTCATCTATCTGCCACCTGTCATCTATCCATCTGGCCATCCATCTATCCATTCATCTATCTATCCATCCACCCATTTATCCATCTACCCACCCCATTTATCCATTTATTGATTCATCTATATACCATCTACCCATTCACTTACCCATCCATCCATCCACCCACCCACCCACCCATCCATCATCTGTCCATCCAGCCATCCCTCCACCATCTATCCATCTACCCACCCCATTTATGCATTTACTGATTCATCTGTCTACTGTCTACCCATTCACTCACCCACCCATCCGTGTATCCGTCCGTGTATCTGTCCGTCCATCCATCCATCCATCCATCCATCCATCCATCCATCCATCCATCCAT